GCTACGTAAATGTTTCTTGACAGGCTGAATGACTAAATAATTTTAAAAATTTTATTTTTAATTGAGACAGAGTCTTGCTCTGTCACCCATGCTGGAGTGCAGTGATGTGATCTTGGCTCACTGCAACCTCTACCTCCTGGTTTCAAGCAGATTCTCACCTCAGCCTCCCAAATAGCTGAGATTACAGGGCCACGCCACCATGCCTGGCTATTTTTTGCATTTTAAGTAGAGACAGAGTTTCGCCACATTGGCCAGGCTGGTCTTGAACTGACCTCTGGTGATCCACCTGCCTTGGCCTCCCAAAGTGCTGGTATTATAGGCATGAGCCACCGTACCCAGCCTGACTGACTAAACAAATGAATAAAATATTTGTGGAATGAATGAACCAGGATTCCTTCCTCCTTTTCTCTCCTGATCTGATGGAGCATCTCCCTGAAGAACTTGAAGAATGTTCTGGAGCTAGACTCACCCTCCTGCCACATATCCTGGGTGCCCTTCAGTCTGGCCCTTAAGTGGTCCCGTGGGGATGGAGGGGAGCAAAATCTGGTCCCTGCTCTTATAGGAACCTCACTGTCCGTGCAGCATGTTCAAACTGCAGGTCATGGGCAAAATAAGTGTAGTAGTGCCCTGCACTCAGCAATAACAAAAAGAAATAGGACAAGATAGATTAGAAAGTACCAGAATGGCCAGGCCCAGTGGCTCACACTTGTAATCCCAGCACTTTGGGAGGCTGAGGCAAGTGGATCACCTGAGGTCAGGAATTCAAGACCAGCCTGGCCAACATGGTGAATCCCCCTCTCTACTAAAAATACAAAAATTAGCCGGGTGTGGTGGCAAGGGCTTGTAATTCCAGGTACTCAAGAGGCTGAGGCAGAAGAGTTGCTTGAACCTAGGAGGCGGAGGTTGCAGTGAGCACCATCGCCACTGCACTCCAGCAGGAAGGGAGGCAGGGAGGCAGGGAGGAAGGGAAGGATCCAAGGCAGTAAGTCTAAGCATTTTTTTGTGAATAATACATTTGCATATCTCTATAGCTGGTCCTGGTATAAAATGTATTTCTTACTTTGATACATTTGATCTTGATAAAAAAAGATTTGAACCTTGTGTGTGAATTTGGGAGTCAGGGGATGTGATCCTTAGGCTTAGACCTAAAGAGGGATATAACCAAAAAAATGCATAATCCTGCCCATAATGTAATGCCGATAACTGAACATGTATCCTGAGCCAGGTAGGGGTGCTCAGGCCCCAGGGCCTGGCAGGGAAGAGAGAGGAAGGAGTCCAGAGTGGACAGAGATCCCATGGGCAGATAGGGGAGGAGTCCAAGGTAAACTGCCTGGAGGAGGAACCCGAACTCAGCCTCCAAACACCCCTCTGCCCTGGCAGATTTAGGGCCAGGTCATAGTGTGAGCTTGGGTAGCAACAGTAATAGCAGGAACAGCTGCCATCAGTAAATGCTGGCCGAATGCCAAGCACCTTTTATCCTCCAGACTTTCCCAGGAAGAAAGAACTGCTCTTCACATCATTTAACGAAAGAGGAGACTTGGAGCATTGGGGTCATACGGTGGTAAAGTGGCTGTGGCTAGATCCAAGCCCAGGTCTGCCCTGCTTCAAGCCCTTGTCTTAAGATTTCACACAGATGGGGGCTGAAAAAATGGGAGTGCTGGATGCTGGGGATAGGGTAGTGGGCCCGGGAGGGCGGATGGCCAGGGCAGACAGGGGATCCATCTGTGCTGGGACTCAGGCATCAGGGATGAGTTTGCCTTAGGCTCAGAGACCACCGGGCTCAGGGAGAAACCTCAGGCCCCAAGACTCCCATCCTGGAGGGTGCACATGGCCCATGTTCTTGGCAGTAATGTGGTCACAAGGACCAAAGCCAGGCCAGCCCCTTTCCTGATGTTGTCCACTCCTCAGGCACAGTGTCCCCCAGCTGTGGCAGATGTCGTCGCGGAGTGGGGAGTGGAGAAGAGCAGCAGGGCCTGTTTCCCATCTTTGATCAAGATTCATCTTTGCCGGTTTGAACTCAGCTCCTCTGCTTTACAGCAAGTCATTTGTGCCTGTCAGGAAATAATTTTTGGCTGGAGTGTTCCCTCGAGGGAATCTGAGGTTCCCACAGCTCACGCTTCTGCCCAGGGACTGAACTTGGAAGCTCTCTTCCAAGAGCACCTGCGCCTTGCTTGGGCTGATGGGGCAGTGGACAGCCACAGGCGAGTCTCTCAGGACATAACAGGTTACTCATATTCTTTGCAGCAGTGGCTTATCTGGTTTTGGACTGTGCCAGGTGCTTTGCATATGTGCTACACATACACACATGCTCACTCATAAAGCCACACTCACTCCCACTAGACACTTGCACAAACACAGATCCCTGCAAATATGAGTTCACACACGAGCAACACAACCATGATAACATGTCTTGGGGGCTTGCAAGTGTGGGATGTGGGTGCTGGCAGTGCTGGTGGAGTACTGAGTGAGTGGGGGTCAGTCCTGAACTCTGTCCTTCCTGAGATCCTGTTTTGGGACCCATGAATCTTTTCACAGGGGACTTTGGGCTTTTGCTCTGAGCTTCCAGACTTCTCAGGAATCTTTTGCTGCAGTTTGAGAGGCATAAATTGGCTCAGCTGAGAGAGCTGGCTTGACTGACTGTTTCTTTCTGCCTGGGGCTGGAGAGAGAGCAGAGGACCTTCTCTTGGGTGTATCAGAAGGCTCTGTGGCCTCTCTCCTTCAGCATTCAGCCCCTGTTCCTCTCCCAGGCCCAGGGTGGGGCAGATCCAACTGTGAATCTTTCTTGTGGTTGCCGGGACTTCTAGCCCCATGGCCAGCAGACAGCCAGGACTGCAGGACTTGCTGCTATTCTGAGTAGGGACTTGGCAGGCCCTCTGGGGGGCTGGTGGTAGGCTGGTAAGGCTGGGCACTGTGGTTTGGATGCAGTCTGTGGCCTGACCCTGAGGTACCTCCAGGCCCTCAGCCCCCTACCTACCAGCTGAACCCTGACGCTATTAGAGCCAGAAGGGTTGTGACTACAGGCTCTCCTGAGGACATCTTTGCCCTGGGCTTTTCTGCTTAGTTCAACAAGAACACCTACTGTGTGTGTACCAAGCACAAATGAATGTATGAAGATGTGCCAGGCACTGTGCTATGGACCAAAAGACAGGTCAGACACAGGTAGGACATAGCTTAAATGTCCTCTGGAAGCTAGAGAGGCACACGGCCATGGATCCCAGCATCTGCTGGGCAGGGAGGGTGAGGGGAAGCAAAATGTGTGCATTTGTATGTATGTATGTGCATATGGGCATGTACTGTGTTTATATATGTGTGCATGCATGCCTCTGCATGCATGTATGTATTTGGATACATATGTGCATTATGTGTATATATCTGTATGCATATGCATGTACATACATGTATATGTGTGCATCTGCTCACACACATGCATGCCCCTTAGTCTTGGCCTAGAGGAGGGCATTATCCTGGAATGCATCTTCAGGATGGCAGGCTTCAGTTGGGGGAGTCTGAGACAGTGGGTGGGATGGGATATGGGGCTGTGGTGAGGAGTAAGGAAGGAAACTGTGGCCCAGGATGGAAGCCCTACAGTGTGCCACACACAATGCCTGGACATTACTTGCCCAGCTCATGGCTCCTCAAACACCTCTTTGAAGGAGGATGAGGCCAACTTGTGGATGCAGAAGTTGGGAATCTGAGAACTTATCTCACGTTTCCCAGACCACACAGCCAGTAAATTGTGAGCCACTTTGAGCCTAGCTCTGCCAGACTCTGAAAGTCAGGTCTGTTTCTCAAGGTCAGTATGGTACTTTCTCTGCTCCTGTCCTTTTCACACACCTTGGGTGGCACAGAAGCAGGTATGGAGCTGAGGACAAGTGTTTCCTGGGCCTGTTTCTTCATTCTTTAAAATAGAGATCAGAAAAGTACTAACCTTATAACATCGTGAAGCACTGGAGAGCTAGGTGCTAGGGATGCGGTGAGACCACAATGAGTCATTCCTCTTGTCTTCAGTTATTCTTAGGGGTCATGGGACATGTATATCCCTCTCCCAGCCCAGCGCTCTCCCGCCTGACTTTGGACAGAGGTGCCTGCACTACTTTCATCGTGGGGCAACCCTAGCTCCCCCAAATCCTGCTCCAGTACTGAATGGGGGTGAGGCAGGTGCTAACAAGTGAGAAAGAAGGGTTTCCCGAGTGTGGAGCAGAGAGGAAGTGACTCATCAAATACAACAAAGCCCAACTCTCCACGAGGAAGCACTGGTGAGGAGTGAACCCAAGTGGGTGTGTTCACCCACGTGCTCGCGGGGCCGTCGGGGTGGGCCGGGCTGGCTGCCGCCTAGTGCTAGTCTGCATGGGTGGGATGAGGGGAGGTGGGGGGGCAGGCCTATGGTGCCGGTCACTGCCTGGAGCCAAGTGATGGGGTGGGGGCGGAGGGACCCCTTTCTATCCAAAGTTCTGCTCTGCCGTTCCCCTTTGGCCTCTGGGGGCCGAGGGGCGTGTTTCCTTAGGACCCTGGGCGTGGGAGAAGCCCCTGCTTGGACTGACAGTCCGCTGTGTTAGGCTAGCCCTTCAACACATGGGAGGCAAAAGTCCAGCGAGCGCGATCGCCCAGCTGGGGCTGCACAGCACGGCGAGGCCAGCGCAGAGCCGGGATGCTGGGCTTGGTCCAGCGGAGGCTCGGCCTGGCTGTAAAGCAGAGAGGGCGAGGGAAACCCGGCCAGCAGGTCTCGCGGGGAGCCGGCATCCGGGAGCGGGTGTGGCGCCCAGAGCGCTGCTGCCTCTTGCAGCCAGGAGGCTGGACGTCGGGTTTGGGTGTCTTCCAGAAGCAGCCGCGAAAGCCACGAGGGAAGAGGAACTGGCTTCCCGGGAAGTCTCCTCTGCCCCAAACTTTTCGTCCTCGCTGAGAGGGGCGGGCGGAGGAAGGAAGCGTGGCCGGGGAAGGTGGGGCCAGCGTTCGACCGCCCGGGGCGCGGCTAGGGTGAGTGTGTCTTTGAATCCGAGCCCCCCTGCCCCTCGCGGTGGGGCTGGGACTCGCGGGCGGGGCGGGGTCGGGCGCGGTGATTGGCGGCCGGGCCGGGTCCAACCCTCGGCGGTGCGGGGGACGCGGGACGCGGGACGCGGGGGAGCAGCGCGGCGCGCACTGGCAGGGGTGCGCAGCTCCCATCGCGGGCTAGCGCGGGCTCCCTCTCGCATGGCCTCGCCGGGTCCGCCTGGCCTGCCCATCTTCGAAGCCGCCTCTGCCCCCGCATGGGCTGGGGAAGTTGGGAGGAGCGAGCCGGAGCCCGCACGGGGCGCGCCCCACAGCTGCCTGACTCGGCGCCCGCAGTCCAGGCGTAGCTTGCCGGCATCAGGAGCACGAATGCCCCGTGGAGCGGCGGGATGGCAGGTACTGACGTGTCCCAGCCGGGGGCTGGCGAGGGGAGGGCAAATCCGGAATCCTACGGGCACCCCCCAGCCCGAGACTGCTCTAGACACCAACTCCCCATCACCTGGAGCGGTGAGGTCCTGGGCCTTCACCCCAAACCCGCTCAGGATTGGTCCCTGGGAGGCAAAAGGGACTCACAGGGAGCAGTTGCTGGGTGGTTCTGTGTGTTGGGCACGGGGCTACCCCGTCTTTCGAGTTTCCTGGGTCTGGGGTAGGCACGGGCTGGCGACAACTCCACTTTTCATTGCCAGGCCTGGGAGCACAGCCCGGATCTAGGCTTCCCCGCGAAGTTAGGGGGAGATTGGGGAGAGGGAGGCCATTTCATGACCCAGAGATGGGGTCCCGGGACTCATCCCTGGGGGGCTTGAGGCCCGCAGACCCGGAATGAGTTCAGAGGCCTCAGCGGGGACAGGCATTTATTCTTGGCCCAGTCTGGCCCTTTTCCTCTGTAGGCCTGGGTCTCCGAGGAGAGTACGTTTTTCAGTTTAAAAGGGTTTTCTGAGGGGGCAGTAATCTGTCAGGAGAGTGTTCTATGGGAGACCCGCAGCACCGGGCTCCTGAAGGTGGCCAGGATGGTTGGAGCCCTTTCATGACTCTTGGGTTGTCAGAGATGGGAGTAAAGCTTCATGGCCCCGGGAATCTTCTGGGCATCTCTACTCCCAGCCAGAGGCCCAGGCATCAATTCCTTGGCTTCTGGACAGAGCAACCTGAACCGAGTGGCTGAGCACCACTTAAATGCCAGTCACTGGGCCATGGCCCTGGAGTATGTGGGTAGGGGAGGATTTGGAGGATTCTGTCCTCAGGAGGCTCAGCCCCTGTGGGGAACATGGGACATAAAAGTTCCCTGATGCAGGGTTTTGATACCAGTCCTGGTGATAGTGGAAAGCAAGAGAGGCTACACACCATTGCTACATGAATAATCTAGGCTGCGGAACCACCAGGGCAGCAGAAATCCAGTTTCCATGCAAGCAAGCAAATGTGCTGAAATGTTCCAGCTCCATGCCCACTCTTCGTTATTACCCTGCTCCAAGGGCAGGGAGCAGCAGGGGAGCTTAGGAGTTTCTCCTGCATCCATCCCTACTCCCAGCTTCGTTTGTTTCCTGCTGATGGATTTCTGAAGCAACCCATTTAGTTTCTTGGCTTGGGCTGAGCATGGGACTCTCCTAGCTGGCCTGTGGCTCCTGGGGTTTGGGGTCTAGAGCCAGCCTTGGAGGGTCAGAGGCAAGCGGGAGGAAGTCCTCACTGCCTTTCTGAAGAGCCTCCATCACTGGGATTTGGGGTAGGTTGGGAGGCTGGCAGGCACTGGGCCAGTTTCCTGTGAATGCAGACAGACCCCTGGTGGTGCATGCAGCCTCCTCCCTTCCCTGGCTAGTGTTGGGGTTGGGCACAGTAGGGCCCAGGTGGCTTGAGGTGGGTGGTTCCTGGCACGGTTCTGACCTCACCTCTGTGAGGCTCTGCTTATCTGGGTCTCTGCCCCCTCCTTCATTGTCCCTGGCAGATTTCCGTTTTTCTGGAACACTTTGTGGAGGTGGCAGTGTGCTCATGACCATGGCCTTGGGTGCTGTTCTGGGAGTGGGAGTTGCTTAGCTTACCCTGAAGCCCTTGGCTGGCACTGTGAGAACCTGTGTGAACACAGTTGTCTGCCTCCAAACAGGTGTGCACAGACCTGGGTTACCCAGGCACCTGTGGGGGATGCCCGTGTGGGCAGAGACATGTGTGCATGTGTGTGGTCAGGTTTACAGCTGCATGTGCAGAGACATAGAGGAACTAGATTCATATGTACATGAAGACAGACACAGGAGGATGGTGGGGATGAGCAAACAACCTGGGGACACAGACATGCATGGGGAGAGACACACATGAACTCATCAGCGTGGGCCACATATGGGCTGCAGACACATACATAGATCTACACCATCACAGGGGTTTGAATCTACCCACATGGGAGTCAGACAGGTCAGTAGACAGACATAGATGGACCTACCAGAGCACAGATGGGGATGTGAAACAACATTCCCAGACACAGACGCAGAGCCACGGGGAAGCAGCTGAAGTACCTGGGCAGAATGGATTTGACTGTGAGCTCCCAGGGGCACAGACACATATGTTTGCCATAGGCCAGTAACCAGACACAGGTGGGTTCTGAGAGGTAGGCCGAGGCATGCACTGCCTGGTTATCACTTTTTCTCTGGGCAGCACAGTGCCAGGAAGTTGTCCTGTTTAGGGTGGTGATGGTGCAGGTGCTCTGTGCTGGGGCTTATTTCTAGACTCCCACTTTGGGGATTGAGGACCCCAAAACGCTCAGTCTCCTGTGTTGTACTCACAGTCATTTGGCCTCTCCGCCCGTGCATTGCAGGGCTGGGCTCGCACCAGCAGGTGCTCTTTGAGCTTTGGTTCTTCCTTGGGTCTCCAGAGGCTTCCTGAAGTGAGGCCGTGTGGCCTGAGTGGGATGCTCCAACTGTTCTTTGCCTACTGGAATCGGGGAGGAACTGCCTGGGGATTCTCCTGAACCCAAGCCTGCAGGTCTTTGGCAGGGATGGGATGATCCCCCGAGAAGAGAGAGGACACAGGCAGCTGAGTCTGTGATGAGAGCCACTGCCCTCTGGCGCTGGCTTCTTTTCTGCTAAGCCCTGGGCTTGCACAGGGAAGGGGTCCCCCACCTGGCTGTGCTCAGGTCTTGTCTGCTCAACCTGGCACCTAGGAGCCAGCCCAGATTCTAGATACGGTTTGATACTGACATACCCTGTAACCTCCAGCAGGTCATTCAGTGTCTGGGTTTCCTCATCTTTAGAGTGGGGTCAGTAACCCCCACCTCCTTGTGGGTTCAGTGGGAGACAATCAGTGGAAAGCGTGTGGACCAGTGCTTGGCATGGAGTGAGCTCCCAGTTGATGTGGGTGTAGGGGCCTTTGATTATGAGTCTTCTCCTGTGGCCAGGACTCTGCAGGGCTTCCTTAGCAGCCAGGTGCATGGCCCCGGGCCCCTGGGTGAGGCCTGGAGCAGGCTAGGTGGGCCAGGCACATCTCCTATGAAAGCTGAAGGGGTTTGTCTTTGCTCTGTGCCCACCAGTCCCTCCTTAGCCTTGTGGGGCCTCCATACATGGTGTCAGGAAATGGTAGGCTGGCGGAGGTATGGAAGCTTGGGCCTGCTGCCTGCTGGGCCTCTGGGAGGTGAGCCAGTGGTTTGCTAAGCATAGTCCCAAATCATGGCTCTCGCCTCCCAGTGGGCAGCCCAGCCATGTGCCTCCCTCATCTCCAGCCATGGCCCTTGCAGATGGGCCTTTTATGTTTCCTGTAACTGGTGCTCAGCACAGGACTGGGTCTGGGAGCAGCAGGCTTCGTCTGGGAGGAGGCTCTGATTGCCTTTCAAGGCCTTTGGCTGGGACCCGGGGAAAGAGGTCTGGAAGCACTGGCCTTTATAATCCCTGAGTTCCTCCTCCACTCAGGGGTTTTCCTGACACGTTCTCCCTCGACTGTCTTCCTACCCCCACATAGACCTGTTGTGATTAAGAACACTGGCTCTGGAAAGAAACCACCAGGGTCTGAATTTCTGCTCCCTCCCTCATGAGCCGTGTGGCCCAGGGCAAGAAACCTAACCTCTCTGTGCCTTGTGTAACAGGGTTAAGGATACTAACTCCCTTATGAGAATGTCACAAGTATGAAAGGAGATAATTGCAGAGAGCCCTCGAGGCACTGTCTGGCTCATAGGAAGTGCTTGGTAAACATTAGGTGCTTATGTTATTGTTATAACGTATTCTCTCAGCAGAGACCAGAATGCTTGCACAGGACCAGGTGGTGGGAAGGGACCAGGGTGGCATCTTGATTTGGGTTCCTGAGCTTTCTTGGCCCTGGGTTTAGTATGAGGTGCATGGACTCTGAAGGTAGATTAACCTCAGTCCCCGCCAGTAGGTGAGCGAGGTACATGCAGATACTATGTCCGGTGCCATGATGGAGGGAGGGAATAGCTGGCCTGGGGTGTGTTTGATATTTCATGTGGGCTTTGAAGGATGGCCAGGAGTTTGCAAGGGGGAGGACAGGGCTTCCCCAGCAGAAAGAGCAGCATGGCAAAGGTGTGACAGCCTTTGGGAAGCATTGTATATATTTCCCATAACTGGCATGTGGGCTAACTTTGGCTTTAAGGGGTGCCCCTGCCTGGGCTGAAGCTAGGGCACTGATGAGAGAGGCATGTAGGGTGTCTGGGTCATCTGCATCCTCATGGAAGGAAGTAGGGAACATCTTTGGGAAGTGGGTGTGCCACTGGCCAACACTGTGGGCTTCCGCGGAGCTGGGGCTTTCAGAAATTCCACAAGAAGGGAGGATGTGGCGCTGAGAGGGCTATGGGTACCCTGGGAAATGGCCGACATGCTGGGCTGGAGGCCATGGGAGGGGAGAAGGGTGGGTGCCCTGAGATGACCTGGGACCCTGCCAGCTTCTGCATCCTGCTTGAGCCCCAGGCTGTGCTCTCTGCAGGCTGTGCTGGCCTCTGTCTGGCCTTCCCATAGTGGAGGCCTGGGACGATGGGACATTTTTGAAGAGTCTGTTTAGAAAGCACAGAGGGGATTTCTCCTCCTTTTTTCCTTTTCTTGGCACTGGAGAACCTCCTGAAGTTGTTAACCCCTTTCCTTCTGGTCACACAGTGGCCCATGGATGTCCCTCATTTTTTTTTAAGGCTCACTATTTTATTGTTGCCCTTTCTGTTACACGAGATATATACATCAGGTGCTGAAAGGTACAACACATTCTGCAACTGGGTGCCACCTTCCATAACTGAACAGGCCAAGAAAGTACACTGAATATCAGCATCCGGCAATATATTTGTTTGAGATGGAGTCTCACTCTGTTGCTCAGGCTGGAGTGCGGTGACCTGATCTTGGCTCACTGCAACCTCTGCCTCCTGGGTTCAAGCAATTCTCCCAACTCCCTCCTGAGTAGCTGGGATTACAGGTGCCCACCACCACACCTGG